ACATTCTAAACTAACACGAGTCTCATAAGTGTCCAGTTTAAGGGGTAATTATACAAAAACATAAATGCCTAAATTAATGTCTTTCTCAATTTCAGAGAAAGTTGGAGAGCATCATAAACACTTAATAATGCAGGAATGTGTTTCAAATGGGCAAGAATGTCATAATGCACAATTTTGTTTCTCGAAATTCCTTCTAAACTTGAGGTCGGACCCTAATTAGATTCTCTAATCTATGGTCTTCCTCCTTGTCTTGTTGAACTTATTGAGTTAACTCTAACTCTTTTTTCTCTCCTCGTTCTTCACTCTCTACTCTAGAGATAGGACCATCTATATTCTTTTGTTTCTTGTGTTTTCGGCTATACTGCAAAGTAATTTGATCCACCTCATTTTCAGTACTAGGTACTTCATGTTCTTTACATGAAGCCACATAACATGGTGCTACTTCTAGTTCATCGAAACTTTCTTCCAAGATTTATTTTGGGATGTACTCTTTCAGTGTGACTAGAAACCTTGGGAGTTGTTCATACTCTTCTTCAAAATCAACTTGAACCTTTTTCTTAAGTCTCCTTTTTTTCTTCTTATTGTTCTTTGTGGAGGTTCTTTGTTCCCAGAATTCAATGCCCAAAGAATTGTAGAGTGTAATTCGTATGGGCTCGACTACCCCCTTTGCCCCATTAACTATAGTTTTCCAACTTGTTTCATCTTTAGATACAAAAGAATCACTAAAACACATCACACTTGATTCTTGCATCAATTCATATCATGAACAGAGGGTAGGACCCTCTTCCTCTAATAGAGAAACGTTATTTGCAACTATAATAGTTTGCTTAGGAGAAGGTTCTGCGATTTCAATTTCTCCCTTATTTATCATTGATTGGATGATGTCTTTGAAAATGAAGCAGTTTTTGATACTATGATTGACCATCCTATGATACTGACAATATTTTGGATAATTTGTCTTGTTCACCTCAAATGGCCTCCTTGGCTCTTGCAACTTAGTCGCCTTTGTTGCTAAGAGGTCTTCAAAAATTCCTTCCACATTCTCATTATCAAATGAAAATTTCTTTTCTTTCTTTTCTTTAAGGGTTAAGGGTTGAGATGGATCTTTCCCTTTTCCCTTATTTTTCTTGAGATTAACAAAAGTGGTTATTGCTTCACCTTTGCCTGCAGGTTTCTTACTGTCTTTTTTTTTTCATTTTTTGAGGTGAATTAGGTTTATTTGCTACACCCTTTTGCCTAGCAATTTGTCTTTCGATATTACTGGCCTTAGAAACCAATGCATCAAATGATTGTGGTTCAATAATTTCTACAAAGTAGGAATTTCCGGCAAGAGATTATTAGACCACATTTGTACTGCTAAAGCTTCCTTTAATTGTTCAACACATTAAAGATTCATATTTCTCCAATGTGTAATGAATTCATTTACACTTTCATTTGGCCTTTGTTTTGCTTCAACTAAGTTTGTAACAAAAAGTTTCCTTTTGGAACTAACGAATTGTGCTAAGAAAGCACGTTGCATATCACCCCATGTGATTATTGATCTTAGTGCCAACTGTGTGTACTAGGTAAAAGATGCCCCTTTCAATGTTTGCACAAATTGTCTTATTAATAAGGCGTCAGACATTGCTGACTCACCACAAGCAGAATAAAAATGAGTGAGCCAAATGTTCATGAGGAGACCCATTTATTCCATCAAACTTCTAAAAACTAGGCTTTTGATATCTTGGAGGGAATGAGAGTGTATCAAAATATGCATGATATGATTTCCTGTAACCAAGGACTGGTTGTGTGAGAGACGCCTGGAATTCCTTTATTCCCTCTACGATAAGTGTCTTTAGATCTATTAGAGGAACAAGAGTAGAAGTTGATATTTGTTGAGACAACTCTCTAACAGATGTGCTTGCTTGAACCGACAATTGAACAGCTAGAGATGTAATTTCTACATCATTTTTTGCCATATTTCGTTGCATCTCTTCAATTTGCTCTTCTGTACTTGAAGTACCAGTTACCATGACCGTCATAGGAGATGGCTCTTGGTCTTCTCTTGAGGACATAGCAATTCCTTGCAATAGGATGTAATTCCATCCATAGATTCATCTTCTTGAATTGAAGATTTATGATCATCTTGGATTAGATTGACTTTGGAAGTGATAGACTCACCAATCAAACTTAAAGTTGACATGTCTTCAGAACTTTGCAACAATCGAGCTCTTGCTCAGGGCCTTTATAAGGCTTAAGTTCTTCATTGGGCATAGTATATGCCCCCAATGCAAAGTAAAAATTTGTATGTTTAGCAAACATGTATCTAGAAATAAAAGTCCATTTTTTTAGTTCTCATGTCTAATTTTGTTTTCTTTGATCTTTCTATAGAAAAATCAGCAAGGGAAATGGGAGTGCTACTTTGTAGCTTTTTAGCCTTTGGAAGTCTCTCAGGCCTAGGCTTATGAATGAAAATTGGAGATTGTTTTGAAAAACCTTCAATTCTAGTTTGAAGGCTTCTGATTAAAAATAACTTTCTTCCCGTAAGAGGAAGAACCTTTTCCACTTGAACTTCTGAGTTCAATTACCTAGGGTTTCAGTTGTGCAGATGAAGGAACATTTGTTGCCTTCTCTTCTATAGTCTCATTAAAGGTCTGAAGAGTATATTTCTCTTCAGAAATAATCACCACCATGATTGATATTGTAAGAGGAATCGGAAGATTCACTAGAATGGTTCTTGTCATGATTTGGGTAGGATAAATAACCTTAGTCGTTGCTTTAGTAGACTTCTTTGGGGAAGTCACCATTAATTTTGTGATATTCAAGATTGGCAACGCAATCTTTTTAGAGGAATTTGCCTTGGGTGGCTTGAAACCTAACTTCTGAGTAAAGTTTAACATGTTCCTCTTTTTCTCTTTCTTGATCTTTTACTCAGCCTTAGTGACAGAAGACATGATAGTAGTAGCAAGAGGATTCACATCCATAGTAAATGTCGCCTTGTAGGAAGGCTTCTTAGAGCCTCTTATCTTTTCCTTCTTCATAGTAGTCAATTTGTGGTAGTAAAAACCACTTTGGGTGCGATGCCTGAGATATTTCTACCTATAAGTAGATAATACTGATATAAGATTTACATTTTTGTTGTTTCTTCTCCTTTTGTTCTAAAATGAAAAGGAAAATGGGTCCCACTGGGCATGCCAAAATTATGTTGGTGTGAAAATTTGAATAAACTCTCATGTAACATAATTCACACAATCAAGTGATTGAATTTTTATTATTTTGGATAAAGCCCATTCAGGGAACCATACGAATTGTTTCCCTTAATTACATTTCCACAAGAAAGTAGAGAACACCTTTTGATTCTGACTTAGAAAAACGAATGCATAGAACAAAAGAAAAGAACAATATAGTACTTAAAAGGAACTTTTCATTTGCATTTCTTTTACATCAAGTGTTCAAGAATGAAAAGAAAAAAAAATAAAGAAAATACAATTGAGAAACCTCTACAACAATAAATTTCTCTTTTTTCCTTTTGATACAAAGAAGATTTCCTTCTCACTCCTTTCTTCACAATAAGTTGTAGTCAATCAAATAAAATTCTAACTATAGACAACCTTAATCCTTCAAACTTTTTAGTACAAAAAGGGAACCATAGTCAATCAAATTGAATATTTGATTGTAAACGGTTTTTGTCCCCATGTTCTTCATTTTCATTTGAAGAGAATCATAATCAACCCAGGAGAATTAGACTATAAATGGTTTAATCCCTAACTCTATCTTAAAAGATGAACCATAATCAACCAAGTAGAGGCACCTGGTCATAGATGGTTCATTTCCCTCTATTTCCTTTTTCAAAAGTGAAAATAAAAGAGAGAGAAAGAAGGATACATAGCAGAAGACATATATATAATAAGTATTCACGGAGAGAACTTTCCTTTTCCTACCTATATTAGTGAGACTTCTTTTCCTTCCCTGTCTTCCCTTGAGCACTTCTCTTTTCTTCTCTCTTTATCTTGACTTTTCTTAAGAATCTCTTAAGACAATTTTCTTCAAAGAGGGCCTTCTAGCTTCCCCTTAAGGAACTTAAATAGGGAGTGGGGTAGTTATATGTAACTACCTCCTCCTATGTGGACACCTGTCCCTCCCACTTAAAGAGAGGAAACTCCCGTATGGAACACTTTTTTATAGTTTTGATGATTTGGCTAGCAGACTAGTCAACCCACTTATTTGAGTTATGAATTATTTAAATATTATTTGGATTAAAAAATAATTCAACAATTAGAACCTAAAACATCATAGATATAACAAGTCAACATATTTTGCATTCCCAACACCAAATATATAAATCTACTGAAAATTGAAAGGTTGAATAAAAGGTAAAAACTTACCTTCCATTCTCATTCTTCTTGATTTCAATGGCCTCTTTTTTATGCAAAGATCTCAAGGTAAAAACTCCCACAAGATCCTAAGACAGGGAAATGAAATTGAAGGGGGCAAAAACCCTTTCCACTGAACTAGTCAGCACATTGTATCTATCGAGGTTCAGTTCATATCAACCAATACAGAGTGATATAGTTGATATAGGATGACATGAATGGAATGGTCTGGCACCAAATCCATTCCACCTATGCCATGTGTTTGCTTGTTAACCAATATATTATGCTGTATCATGTATATGGTATCGATACCTAGAACCTTGATCAGGAATTTCAGACAATAATCCTATTTTCGTTGCTGCATCAAGCTTGATAAGAAATTAAGAACTAATATCTCAATATACTAGGAAACTAAACCAAACAAAAATTTATTTTATCATCTCAATCCAAGAGAAACAAACCTGGATTCTCAAATGCTTCTTTTGTCTTTGAACTCCAGGAGGCACTTGATTAACAAGCAAAATGGCTCAATATCATCTTGGTGCCAAGATTTTTTTTTAATCCCTGCAGGTCTAACCCTATATCATTGTCAGTACAGTGGAGTTTTAATTACCAAGTTCAGGATGGATTGGTGTGATGTTTTATGTCTAGGACTCCAGAATATTAAACCAAATTTATTACCATCATTCTAATTTTGTTCTCAATTTAATCGAGTAACCTAATTTAAATTGGAGGTAATGATATAAACTACAGACGTTGGAAGATTGCAGCCTTATTATCTGTTAGAGACAAATATTTAATTAAGATTGTTGACTTGACTTCAACTGTGAATCCCTATAAATATGCCACTTTTCGTATCTTTGATGTCCAGGCAGAACAGGTCTAAGTCGAGAAGCCTTGGAGCAATCCAAAGAGCAGCATCCCTGTAACTTTTCCACACAATTTGTGCAGCATCTGGAACAGTTAAATGCACAAATAAACAACGAGGATTAGCAAAATTAGTTACTGAAATCTGTGTTCTAAAGCCTAATACTGAAGTTCCACTATACTAGTTTTATTACTATTATGTGCAAGGTTCAAAGTATTGATATGCATGGTATGCAAAAATTCCACATTGCATGTTTCAAATGGCCGAAATACTTATTTATTTTTTTATTATATCAGGAATTGAGTTAGGACATCTACAGGAAGGGTATTATCCTTTAAAATTGTCCAGATACCCTAACTCACTGTATTTAGCATTCTGGTGATCTCAAAACATGACATGATACACCTGATATAGGGCATATCATATCGATAAGTTGAACCTTTTATGTGGCACATCTACAATGACACATATAGATAAATCAAGTTATTGCACTTTAGCATTCAACATACTCTTAAGTTACTTTCATTTGGGGTTTTACATAGACAAATGAATGGTATATGTATTTTCAAATAGAAATAGCTATATTTATCGACATCACTGTTGGTCACTTTGTCCACCGACTATTTCAAATGGTTCATGTCTAACTACTGTAAGGGGATAGACCGGTATAGTACCATGATGTCATTACAGATTAACTGCAGCCACACTCCAGAAACCTGTTAACATCCGCCCCACAACAGTGAGTAGACTCAAGGGGAGCCATGGATTCTCCGGTTCTCCCACAACGAAATCTACAATGTCTGCCTCTTCAAATGGACAGGACCGTGGTCCCCAGCTGTGAACCCGTGAACAGTGAGACTGGTACAAAAAGTGATCACCGTGAAAAGAGGAAAGACTGATCATACAGGCCTGCATGATTTCAGACTTTATCCCCTGGTGCGGCACGTGGTAGGATCCTGTGAAAGTGGTGGTTAAGCCGTTCACTGGTCCCCACTCCACAATCTGACATGTGTCCTCCGAATCAACCTAAAAACATGAGCCAGTAACCACCTAAAGAAGATTCTAGAATTCTTGCCCATGCCAGAGCCCCATCTTTGTCTATAAATAGAAGGACTTGTGACAAGGAAGGGGAGGATCAAACTCTCTGTCCATTCTCATTCTCTAATTGTCAGAGAACTCCTAGTTCTCTGAAAATTCAGTTCATCAAACCCTAATTCCCCCTATCCCTGCATCACACCCTTCTCAACTTCTCACTCTCAGAACTTAGGCCACAAACACTACAGTGCCTACACTAACAGTTACATTAATTTAGAAAACCGAGTAACACAAATCTATACTCAACCGTTTTCAGTAAAAATTAGAGCAGTCAGTGACACAAGTGAATTTAGGTTCATAACCACTTACAGCCCCATAACATCAAAAGTTCTGTCTCTTATCAATGAAGCTATAGTGGATAAATATGCCTATACTATCATATTCATCAATACATTCTAAAAACTTTTCACTTAATAAAGTAATTACAGCCCAAAATCCACAAATAGCATACCCTGCTATGCAGGAACATGGACAATGAGCAGTACCATGAATGTTCCCTTTCAGAACCAAGATACTGTTTACTGAAATACATCAATTAGAAGAATAAAGAGAAAATAACAGTATTTTGTAAGAACATAATGAGTGGCAGCACCAACTCTCTTATTTATATTAAGACTGTAAAACACAACAAGAGGACCATTATACCCCTATGGCCAGTACATTAAGTATTACAGAAATCCCCCTTATATATGTCATGGCATTTTCTATGATGCTGGAATGGTATGATACTAGAACTTCGACCAATCAGAACCCCTTTGAATTTTGATGAATACTAGTTGATTGGTTATCAGCTTCTTGGGTATCATGCCTTTTAGGCATCATAATTGGACTTGTATGTCATGCATACCCAATTTGCTACAAAGAACATTATACTACAGGCTGTTTGCACTCATAATTGTTAGAGTTGACTAGTCAGGGCTCTTTGGTCATTAAACTCTTTAATTATAAACTTGTAATTAGACCTTTTAGTCATGCTTAAGTCACATGTCCCTTACATAAGTAAGGGTATAATGGTCTTTGAACATTGTTTGCATAACCAATATAATAAACAGGTCGGCTGGGCTGAGTAATTATTCTCTCCAGTTCAACCATTCTTTTCTCTCCTCTCTTCTCTCTTCTCTTCTTTCTTGCCCTAATGCAGCAACTACAAGAGGACTGAACCTTTACAACATGGTATTAGAGCTCTGAAAAAGGGATAGAAAGTGTAGAGAGACTGCACCAGATGGACCTTTGTAGTTATTCTTTTTCTTTATTCTTTTATTAGGTCCTTCGTAGCTTAGTGGGCCTCATTGTTATGGGCCTGTCATAAGTTATTCTTTATGGTGTTTAAGCTAGCCGCCCTACTGAGGGTATCTTTGTACTTGTCCCTCTAATTCAGTTTAGATCTAATACAAGAATTTGGGGGACTGGAGAGAGGATCGATTAACTATATTCTCCATCTCTCTCTTCTCTTGCTCTGAGCATATTTCTTTCATTCTTTTCTTCAGTTTTTTTACCAATTATTACTTGCTTTGCTTCAGCTCTAATTTCTTCTTGGTATGAGAGCAACCAACCCTGTTTTTACCTTTTCTTTAATCCCATACACACTTCTATTCGAAGAATGTGATGGAGAACTAGTTTGAGAACAGTCCATGATTAATGCAACCTAGCTGTCAGAAGGTTTTTGGAGAGGTTCAGATCAGTTTTGGTTGCCCATGAAGCTTCTTGGAGATTCAGCCCCAAAATAACCTCCTTTAGTAAAAGATAACATAAAGTGAATAAACTGCCCCCACTTAAGTTATAACATCAAATGGCTTAAATAGCCCTGTTGAACATAAATAGAAGAAACAAATCCAAGGGAGAAGGAGAAATAAGACAATAGCAGAATATTAATAGAAAGCTCAGACGACCACTCCATTAACATGGACAACTAGAAAATATTTCCCAAATGGTTTAACACCAATAAATTCATTGCTTGGAAGAAAAGTATAATGTCTTTAATGACCGCTGGTCTGGCCAGCTATGTGAGAAGATGGAACTGCATCACTACTCTAAGTTCCAAAATGCATCTTACAATAAGATTTTAACTGCATTGAACATTAAAAAATCTCAGGCTGTGGCTAAAATAGATGCCCACTAAATATTTAAGATTTCAATACAAATGAATATCTGAAGAGATACTAGAACATAGATATCATGTTTAGGCTACCATAGTTGTTATCTCTACTACAATGTGCAGAAAATGATGATCATTATATCTCCCAATCACTAGTTCCACCTCCAATATCTCAATAGACATCTGGTTTTAAGTAGCAAAGAAATTAATTGTTCTTAATTTCCAGACAAAGGAAGTGCTTAGATAATTCAGATGAAAAGTTCTGTCCTACTTAGATCTGTAATCTGAAGCTCGTTGATCCACTGTGTCCCAAGTGTTAGGTGGTAGTACAAAGGGTAGTTGTTTCCTAAGTCACACCCTAGGCACTGATGCAAGAACACAACAGAAAATCCTACTTGGTAATTCAGGTGAATGGGTAATTAATGAAAAGTGACTATTTTAAAGGGACTTCCAAGGTGTAAGTTAGAACTGGAGCAAGCCACACGTGGGCTTCAAAATTGTACATCACTTACGAAAAAAAATAGGAAATGGAAGATAACTTACAGGAATAACAGGTTGCAGTCTAGATTTGCACAGTTCCGGTGCCTTAGTTCAGCCAAGTGTGACCCACATAGGTGGCATCTTGCAAAGGTAATATTCTTGGACACTAGTCCAGACCCATCAGATTCAGCCACAGCCTCATGCTTGTAGGAAGAAGGTGGTAGTGAAAGACGTGAATCAAAAACGAATAGATTTCCAACCCACTCAATAGGACCTTCATTCTCTAGATAATGAGAAATGCCTCCCTTCAGTGTGTACAAGTTCTGGAAGCCCCTTTGTCTGTCAATAAGAACTTGGGAACCAAGTAAGAAGAACCAGAAAAATAAAATGTTTCTACATTAAATGGGTATTAGAAGAAAAGATACCATGGGAAGTTGTTATGACTGGTAACTGCAATACTTGTAGTACTGAATTTATGTGTATAATCTATAGACTTTTGTCAGCAGTCTGGGCAATTTTTTCATTTTTGCCAAAAAAACAAAATCACAATTTTAATTAGTCTCCAAAACCCCTTCTAAAGACCAAAATTTTTTAAAATATAGAAAGCCTTCTCCATAATGAAAAATGAAGAGACAAAATCACCAGGGCTGTTCATAACAAGACCCAAACCGACCAACCCGGTCTGATCCAACCCGAGTTGGTCGGTTTTTCTTCATCACCGGTCGGTTTCGGATTACAAAAAAACATAAACCAAACCGACTTAGATATATATATCTGATATATTTCAGTTTTAATATATATTTCAGATATATATTTGTGGAAATATATATATATATATATATATATATATTTCAGCTTTATTTCAGAAATATACATATTATATATAAAATTACTGATATATAAAATATCAGTTTTAATCCATCAAATCATTTTTAATTTCCAGGCATCCAACCTTTGCTTTCTTAGACTTGAATCCTTTACCGTTCACACCGAGAGAATCATTCACAAAACCGACCCAAACAGATTCAAACCAACCAGGTCGGTTTTACTTAGTACTGGGTCGGTTTCGATTTCATTTCTAGGTAAACCGACCAGGTCGGGTCGGTTGGAAAAATGCCAGTAAACCAACCCAATCCGACCCGTGAACAGCCCTAAAAAACACTATAGAAAAATAAGGGGCCCTTATTGAACAGCCCTAAAAAACACTATAGAAAAATTCAGGCTTTTGCTAGAAGTACAAAATGAATGTCACTTTTCCTCCAAAATATTGTCAAGTAACAAAGCTTTGAACCTTTTTCTACAGGCTTATAATGTTAAAATTCAGAAAAGTATGGACCATTGTAATGGTATGTACTTTTCTATAGATGTTTCCACAAGTCCTTTTTTCCTCTTGCCAAGTCAGACTTCTTGAGACATGTCCAATTCTGATTTTTGCATGTCCATGTAAAATTGGTGGCCATACTATTAAATGAAAATATGAATTATCTCAATAGATATTAAAGCATTATCATTATTATAAAGGGTTAATTATTCTGAAACTAATTATTTAGGCAAAAGTTTTGGAAGGGCTTTAAGAGCTGAAAAAAGTTGGTTCAATTTGTTGATTTGGTGTAGAAGCAACAATTCCCAATACCCTTTATTAACTTTGTGTTGAAATAATGTGGTTATTGCATTTTCTATGCCTCACAATTGTTTCCAATTAATTTTCGAATATTTAGAATATTTGCAATATTAACTTTGTGTTGAAAATTTATTGTTATTTTCACAATATTCTGCAAATATTTAGAATATTTGCAGATAACAGATTAAAAAATTTACTGATAATTGGAGTTTCTGAAACATTTGGGAAATACCAGTAATGTGCACATGCTTTGCATGTGGAAATTTTAGATGACAATGATGATGACGGAATCTTTCTACAATTTTTTATATTTCTATGTGTATAAAAATAATTCTTATTTATCACACTTTTTTGTTTAAAGATGTTCCCAAAAGTTTTCTACAATTTTTTTTGTATTTTTCATATTTTTTTGTGTTTTTATCTTTTTACTTTTTATTATCTAACTATGAATCAAGGGTTGACACATTAAAATCAAAAGGTTAAATTATTGACCTACCGCCAAATAGGAAAACAATTTCACTTTTAGGTTAGTATTAAATTTTGTATTTCATTTCCATCACCAATAGAAATAATTCTTGCTTGTCACACTTATTTTTCTTTAATATGATTAATATAAAATATTAATGGATTTATGTAATTTTTCATGTTTTTTGCATTTTTATCTTTTTTTATTTTTATTATTTAATTTTGACATCAAGGATTGGTACATCAAAAGGTTGAACTATTGACCTGCTAGGGAAACAATTTTAATTTTTGGGTCAGTTTTAAATTTTTTATTTCATTTTCAACATCAATAAAAATAATTATTATTTAATATTTTTCTTTAATATGACTGATATAAAATATTAGAGATGTGGCCAATTTTTTCTACATTTTATGTTTTTCTACATTTTTGTTTTTATTTCTATTTTAAAAGTTAAATATTTAAATATAACATCTTGGATTGACCCACCCTGATGGTTGAGTTGCTGACCTTTCACCAGATGAAATAGTGGTTCATTTTTGGATCAGTTTTAAAAAACATGGGTTTTATGTTGTTATCAGTCTCCTTTGACTGAGGAAGAAGATCCTGACGACAATTGGGCAAGTTTGGCCAATAAGGTCTACAACAAGAAAGACTTGACTGGTTGTAAAAGAAGTAGGATCAGTTCTTTACTTGGTCCCAAAGTCACCTTCAATAGCCACAACAACAGCAAAGACCATCAATGACGACAATAGCTCCAGCAACTAGAGCCTTAGGGCAGCATCGCTCAGATTCAGAGTCCACAGAGGTTCTAGACAGTCTAAAGATAAACTGCAACTAGAACCAATGGGCTTCTACATCATCTATGGAGGTTTGTTTGGACTTGTATGTGTGTAATTAGGTTTTGGTGTAAGGGTAGGGGGACTTGAGATGTGGAATTTTTCGTAGGAGGTTGTCTTTTTCTTTCTTCTTGTTGTCCTTCTCTCTGATTCCTTATCACCTTTCTTGTTTCTTTCTTTTTATTTTCATAAAGTTTCATTTACGTTCAAAACAAAATTGTATTGCGTAAGGACAGTTAAATTTGTCCCACTTAATAAAGTTATCAATGTGGGGTAATGGGCCACACTCATCTATACCTAGTCCTCTTTGTCATTCTCCTCTTCAATACAAGTCTTACCAAACTCATACCAAATGATCCCCGAAATCACAACTAGATGAACCCCTGTCTCTTGCTTCTCTGTTTCTCTGCCCCCTTCCGTGTAGGTTTCTTCAAGGTGCTGCACAACCCCCCTTAAAAAATGTGCTGCAATAAAACTGCACCGAAATTTTATTACAGTCCACAAGAAAGATAAAATGTTTTGCAGAAAATGTTTTAATATCACTAAACCATTTACTAAGTTTCAATTGCCTAGTGTGTGATCGGATGTATGAGAACGTTAACAATATATGGAGAAAATCAACCTCATTTTCAAGTTTTCAGATAATTAATGTTAAAGCCAAATACACAACAAACACATGCATGCATGTCCAGATGCACAAATACATTTACCTAAGCATTGTAGAGTAAACATCGCAACGAATGCCTCCTGTACAATACATCAATATATCTGTGGTTTCTTTGTCAACACTGGCTAAAGGATCTGAAGAACTGACCTGGAATAATAGAGACAGAAAGAAAACTGAATGATACAATAGATGATCTCAAAAAGACATTAAATATGCTTTGTTTTAAGGGTAAATTACAAAGACCCCCTTGTACTATAGAGTCAGTGACAAAGACCCCCCTGTACTTTTTTTTGCAACAAAACCCCCCCTGAACTTTTACATTGCGACAAATGCCCCCTCGGCCGTTAAATCAGGTAACAGAAGGTGTTAAATTACCAAAATACCCCATTAAGCTTTTTAAATTTTCTTTTTTTTGCCATTCTCTCTTAAAACTTAACTGGCCCAAAAGTAATAATCCGTTCACCACAGCCATTCTCTCTTAAAACTTATCAGAATTAGGGTTGTTATTAAACATAAGGTCTGGAGAGATGAAGAACCAGTTGGCATAATCTCAGCACCAACACCTCCTCGAGGTGTTGAAAAACTAGTTGGCATTCCTGGAGAACTTCTTGGGCGAGAGAAGAAGAGACCAGGGAGATGAAGATGACAGAGAAACCGACATGTTTTTCAGATGGTTGGTTGAGGTCACCGACGACCTAGGTATATTTAATTCCGTCTTCAACGCTGGCGGTCGGCTGAGGTCGCCCACTACCAAATGGATGATCAGCTGAGGTCGCCCACTACCAAACGGATGGTCAGCTGAGGTTGCCTACTACCAAATGGATTCTCCCAAGTTCCCGCTACGAAACAGATTCTGCCAAACTGTACACTAATGGGACTGATGCTTGGTCTAAATTCATACAAACAGGTTCGTGTGTGGTTGAGGTCAGACGGGCTTTTGTTAAACACAGTGGAGGACTTCGATCAGACTGGTTTACAATATTTCAGAAGGGTGAGTGGTCGGCCTGTTTGGGCAATTGGGCCTACCGCCTCTTCCTTGGCCAACAAAACTCGTACGGATAAAGCCGCCAGAACCACCCCGAATCAATGCATCGAGTGGCTTGATATGTAGCCTCCAGATTCTGTTCTTTACGTCTGCTTCGGTTCTCAGAACATGATCTCTGCTTCACAAATGACGGAATTGGCTATTGCTTTGGAGGCAAGTGGTAGGAATTTTATATCAGTCGTTAGGCCTCCAGTGGGATTTGACGTAAACTCTGAATTCAGGGCAGATGACTGGTTGTCGGAGGGATTCGAGGAACGAATAAAAGCACAAAACAGAGGATTATTGGTGCGTAAATGGGCACCCAGGTGGATATTCTATCTCACATGTCTACCTCTGCCTTTCTAAGCCATTGCGGTTGGAATTCAATGATGGAAAGCTTGAGCCGTGGCATGCCAATCATCAGGTGGCCGACGCCGCCGATCAGTTTTACAACATGAAATTTTTGGAGGAAACTGGTGTTTGCATTGAGGTTTCTAGGGGAAACGAGTGTTTTGGATGGTTGGCTCTCGGTCTTGGATGGGACTGAGATGTAAGAGAGCTTCTGCTTGTTGTTGTTCAACTTGCCATCACAGCCATCAGAGGGACCCCCTTCAGAAGCTCTTTGTTAGTGTTCTTCATTTTATTCCTCTGTACTCTAGAGTTTAAACAAAGAGAGAGAAGAGGGTAGTTTGAGCAAAGTAAATGGGATGAAGATAATAGCTGAAAAGGAGAAAAAACTAAAATAAATTAGAAAGGGTAGTTTAGGCATTTAGAAAACTTTAACAGTAAAATCAGAATCTTTTTCAAAGTTAATTGACGGAACACTAACGGAGGGGGGTCTTTGTCTAATGGCCAAAGTTCAGGGGGGCCTTTGTTGCAAAAAAAAGTACAGGGGGGTCTTTGTCACTGACCCCATAGTACAGGGGGGTCTTTGTAATTTACCCTTGTTTTAATCACAGGAAGACATTAAATATGCTTTGTTTTATTAGTTGTAAATGTCCAATAAATTTATACCACTGCACCCTGAATGCCAGAAAGTAACGGAAAATAATAACAGATCCACAAAGGTATGCAATAATTATGAAATAAGGAATTATGAAAGCTAAACCCCAAGTGTAAAATTGTTTCACCCCCTTTTAATCTTTGCAAAGACTTAGAAACCTGTACAGATAAGTGGTTTTTCTTTTTTTTTTTTAATTCTAATGTAACAGTATTAGGAATCTTCTTGGTCATCTGCATATCCTTTGAATTGGCATTGATCCCTTCTAATTTCAAAACTGTGTTCTTCTCAAAAATCTAACCTGAAACAAGCTCGCCAAACCCATTATCATCAGCCCCCGCAAATCCGGTTGATCTTACTCTATCTTGATTCTTTACCTCTTTAATTTCCACTTTATCAACAGAATCTACACCACTTTCATTTATGGCCATCCTATATTTCTCTTCCAACTCTTTAAAGGTTTTCCTGGCAAACTCCTCCCCTCATAAGAAAAATAACCCAAACGACTTGCTAACTTCCACCTCTATTCACCACTTTTCTAAGTCAATTGATCTTCCAATATCATGATTCATGAGTCTCATCCACTAACCCCATCCTCACTAATTTCAGTTGAATCACCGTCTTCATCATCTTCTTCACCATACAAATCAGGAACATTATTTTTCTGCCACTGGTTTAGTTCGATATTTGCTCTTTCTTCTGTATAATCTTGAACAAGCAGCACCCAAAGTATTTTCATTTAAAAGTTTTTCTGTAATTCCTTCCACTTCAAACTCTGTAACCTTTCCACCCCTTTCCTCCTTGTGTCCCTCAACTTCCTCTTCTTCTCAAGCTTTACCGTTCCTGTCCCAGCCTCATCCCTTTCTTCTGTACCCTGATGTACACCCTCTCCATCTTCTATCTCACTGTTAATGCACATACAACCTTCATCCGTTTATTCTCCAGGTTCAAACATCAAATTTTCCTCCTCAAGTTCTGTTTCATCTTCCTTCTCTATTGCATCATTCTTCCCTAGATTCATCACATAAGCTACCCACTACCTCCTTTGTTTGAATTATGACATTCACTTCCCTAGTGTTTCATCTAGGGCTGCAAGTCGGGCCGGGTTAGGTCGGGTTAAGGCCAATCCTAGCCCAACCCTAAGTTCTAAACCCCAACCCTAACCCTAACCCAACCCGACCTTCAACCCAACCAACCCAACCCTAACTAAATTCCTTCAACCCTAACCCAACCCAACCCAACCCAACCCGAAGTCAATTTCGGGTTGGGTTGGGCTCGGGTTGGGCCCAACCCAACCTTCTTCCCATCCCTTAAAACCTCATAGAATTTCTCGATTTTAGATCTTAACTCAACTTTCATTACATATATTAATCCTATATTTCATTAGTATTTGTTTGTTGACTTTTTTTTTCGTTCTTTTGGTACAAAATTCAGAAAAACAAGTGTTAGAAATGACTCTAGTTTATTATGAGTTATGACTTACAATAGATCTTTCTTGGGCGGCAAAAAACATAGAGGAGATGAAGAATAAAATTTTCAAAAAAACATAAAATAATGTTATTAAGGTTTTAGTCTTTCTGATTAGGATTAAGTGAAGTGATTATCTTAAAAGAAATACATGATACTATGTTGTGGGGGCTCTACAAATATCATGCATCTAAACAAATCAATGTATATTATATATTACATATAACATATATTTATATATTATATGTACTATAGAGTCAGGTTCAGGTTGGGTTGGGTTGGCTAAGGGGTCAACCCTAACTCAACCCGAAGTAAAGTCGGGTTCATGAATTTCAACCCTAACCCTAACCCGAACAACCCGACCCAACCCAACCCAACTTTTTCAGGTTGGGTTAGGGTTGGGTTCGAGCCAACCCGGCCCAAGTTGCAGCCTTAGTTTCATCACCATAAGACCTTTACATGACATGATGAGCATGATGAGGAGATATAAAAAGCCTACTTTGAGTTGAATCTTGTATTTGTTTCTGCCCTATGGCAACCCTTAATTTTGAGAAATATGAGTGTAGGTTTTGGGAGGAAAAGAAATGTCTTTCTTGAGGAGGTCTATTCTATAGTGTACAGCATAGTTTTCTAAAAGGCTACGAGGAGAGGTGCAGGTACTGAGGCATAAGCCTCAAGATGAGTTGTGCACAAACTACCAAGCCTCAAAAACCATACATAACCTACATAAGGCTTAGGCCTCAATTTGCAAGAGGTGTAGGCCTCATAGTCTTTAGCCTCAATTTGTTGAGGCCCAAGCCTTATTTTCTCCAAGAAAAATGTTTAAATCCATATCTCATACTTACTAGTGACCATAGAATATGATCTAATATTAAAAAAAAATAATGGGCAACAATAATAATAATAATTACTAGCACTTTACAAAAATATTTAGGACAAGTTATGAAGTTTCAACAAAAAAAAACGTTTATTTAAAAAGCACTTATAAATTAATTTCTTTTGAAAAATAAATTAAAACATATCAATTAAGTAAACAAGGCATTCCCTTTAGTTAATAAACAAAGTCAAGGAAATAAAAAATACTTTAAATACAAAATAAAACATCAAAGATAAGTTCAAAAAAGTAGGAGCTATATCATAAAGCGTGCAATGAATAAACATGAGTTTATAAATCAGCTATCAAATAAGTAAATAAATAAATTTCACAATGTACAAAAAAAAATGAATATAAATTTGATTTTGTATAATAATTATAACAATTGTATACAGTGTAACTTTGGTCTCATAAACCTAGGAACAAAAGCTTGGATGAGAAAACCCTCCTCCCTAGTGCCCTATTCATAGAGAATAACTGGAGATACCAAATACAGAACACCCCGCTACAAAAACAAAACCCTGAGATTTGGACATTACACTTATAGAAAAGAAAAACAGCAGTCACCTACCCAATGCAACAACCCAAGAGTTGCAGCCTCAAACAATGCCAAAAAGACTTGAACATGCCCTTCACAAAACAGCTTCATCCACACAGCAGGGAGGGGGCTAAATGTTGGTAACGATATTTAGGCACAACTATTTGGTCACCACCTAAGCACATAGAAATGACATGGGATGTTGACCAGTCGCAAAGTGCCCAAAAAGCAATTCATTTCCAACTGCCAACCATATCTCATATTGATAAGCAAGATGAAATTCATTACATAATTTGGGGATCATATAACTAGTCCAGTTTTTTCCCTATTATTTGACAAGTATTAAAATAGACAAAACCTAAAGGCTCTACAAAATATAACAAAAGGACTGCTCAAAGCCCCTAGTGCCCAAAAAGGACAAGGATCATCTGATTGATCCATCCTATGGCCTAGGAAATTTCCTTGGTACAATGCCCTCAGAAGTGTGCAGTGCACAACAAAATATTAAGTAGGTCATGGAGATTGCCTCATTTACGTCCTTCTATTGTACAACTTCTGATTGAACTGTTGAAGTTAGAGTATTTAATGGATTGAAAAGTTTACAGCCACAAGAAAAGAAACTCAAACACATAGAAGTCCAAGCACATAACCAAGACCAAACCCATTTAAGCCCATAAGCATATCCAAACCCATGTCTCTAGCTCATATTCATACCTGAAATCCAGATACATGGCAAACCAACCTATTAAATTGAAATATGAATTGGGAATTGATACAAGTTCCATGAGCATTGGTGCTGGAGTTTCTTGGAGTTGAAGGAAGCATGGAGAATGACAACATTCATCATGAAGATTGAGAAGTTAGGTACTTAATCACCTGAGTTTTCAAGGTGCCAAAGTGAGGCTAGGAGGTAAGGGCACCCTATTGCCTAGGTGATGGATCCTTTCTAAATAAAAATCCTGAATCCTAGGGCAATCCGTGAAGGGATGGGAGATCCATCATATGGATGGCCAAACCCTGCAGGAAGGTTGGGTGAAATTTCAAAAATTTCTTGCTCTCCCATCCGGGAATCGTATTCCCTAATTTAGAAAACTGCATTTTCAATTATCGTTCTTGAATCAAAACCGGACCAGATCTGAAATCAAAAGGGAAGTAAGGGATATACCCGATACGAAGTAACAGTAACTCCCAACGTAAGTGTTCACGCCCAAGGAAAATACCAAAACCCGCCTCCATTGAAGATGACACAATGTATGGTGAAGCAGGATCAACAGGATGGTTCTTCAATAAGAACCTAAATTCTTTAGTAAGAATCGAACAAGGGCTAGTGAGCACGACTTCAGATTGTTTCTTCTAGCAAGAAACAGTATTAAGAACCTTTCTTGATCACATTCACAGGTAGAAATCGAACTGGGTAGGGGCGGCAAGAACTGGGGAGAATACTATAGGTTGTTGAGTGTGTGTAAACTATGGAATTCACCCCCTATTTATAGCCTTCTTTGGATCAGACTCCTAATCCAATTAAGAGAGAGTTTCTTGATCCAAATATGATATTTGAATCTGGATTCTTAAATGGATAAGACTTGTCTTATCCTTCAACTAATCCTAATCAAATTATCAATCAAATTTCGCCCCCTTTTAATTAATTAGCTTAAGCCCAGTTCGAAATGGGCTTTAGGCCCATTAAGTCACATAGCTCACTTACCCTTTTAATCTGCTGGCTAACTTGGCTCTCCCTGTATGGCGTGGGACCCTAACATCGATTACACATCAGCCACATGGATTCAGCCCAGCCTCTGCTATAAGGTCGGGCCGAATTCACTGTAAGACACAGTAAACCCTTAAGTCCATCACCATGGGCTCTTAATGGACCCAACATTTACACTAAATGGTTCTTGGGTCCAGCCACCTTATGAAAACTCAAGGACTGTGGGCAAATGCAAGATTAGACCATCAGGTATTACCCTCAATGGTCTTACACTTAACCTCTTAGCCCTTAATGATCAAACATTGCCCGACAAAAGAGGACATCTCCCTCGGCTGCACTCTCTACACACATGGATCCCGGGAATTAAAACCTTTTTGCAAACAATTTGAAACCATAATATATAAGTATATCTCTATATAAATATAATTTGCAAAACCAAATTTCAAACACATTTGAAATCCACTACTGGCAGTTTAGGTTTCCATCAGAGAAAGTGCATTCCCCGATTATTCACTTTGTTCGACAAAGGAGTTGATCTTGTCACTATGTTCACCCACTCAAATGAATTCTCGAATTGTCCCAACATACCCAGGTTTTGACCCCCTCTAAGGATCTGACTAATTGGCATATCAAAGACAATCCAATCCGACACCTAGTGCAGTACAATAATCGAGTCTAGGGGTCAGGTGTAACATTCCAATTTTGCCCATCTATCTCCAAGGTCCAGGGCAATACTAGAATTTGGTCCGGTTCAAGGTTTTAAGAAAACCCACACTACATGTACCTCAGGCCTCACCCTGGCAGCTGAGACAATCCACCCCAACCAACTTGGCGGCACATCAGTGTCAGCTTTGGCAGGATAAATCTCCCCAGATCTATCCAACGGTTGTAAAAATTCTAAACTAACACGAGTCTCATAAGTGTCCAGTTTAAAGGTATTACACAGAAACACACCAAATCACATGAATCAATTATGCACTTTATTCATTTACAATAAATGACATAATGTACATCAATCTGATAGGAGCCAAGGGCATACACTGTCTAACAATCCGCTAGGTTCTTTAGCAACCAGCAATCATCTTCCATTAGTAATTAGCAATAATCTTCATACAAAAGCATAAACTCCATATTAGAACATAGAAAATCAATATATTCATAAAAGAAAACGAGTAGAGGAAAGAAAAGTAGAAAATATAGGGGATGTGAGCCCCTATTTTTGACCAAGGAAAAGAATAAATGAAAGGGTGGAAGAAGAAGAATGTTTTGATTCGATAAAATTTAAAGTGATCCCTTGCTTATCAATTCAGGTTTTGAAGTCTTCAAGGGTTCAAGACAGAACACACCAACATGTGTGTTGATTGGACCCAGCAAATTTCTACCAAAAAACCCTAACAAGAAAAAAATAAAAAGAAACGAGTATATAAAGAATTATAATTAAGTGTAGTAATGTCTAAATTATAATTATAACCTCAAAACATAAAGAAATATAATGATATTGTATATTTCCATATACAAAATAGATAGGCATTTAAGCAAGGAGAACCTCCAATAGGTGCCTTGTCACCTTGACAATCATGTCACTAAGAAATGTATTTGGAGTTAAAAGTTGTAGTCTTCTATGATAATTATTTAGAAAGTAGTAATTAAGTTGTAGTAGTAGTTTCCTTCACTAGAAGGAAAGTTTGCCTATTACACAGGGATATACTAGTTTGTTTTCAACAGTGAACTAATTAAACATATTCTTTAATTAGTCTGTGCCTTGATGGTGTGGCTCCATTTTCTTAGAGGTGTGACTCCTCTAACGAATTGGTCTGACTCTAATGTCGAATTAGAATCCTATAGTGAGATGCTAGAGATTCTAATTCAAGGCTATGTGACTCAACACTCCACTCTCTTTCTCAAAATCCTATTACATATCCAACCATCTCAAGTTGCTTATGTGGGTTTTGACCATGCTGCATTACTCGAATTAGAGTCCTATAGTGAGTTGCTAGAGATTCTAATTCAAGGCTGTGTGACTCAACTTTCCACTCTCTTTCTCAAAATCCTATTACATATCCAACCATTCTCAAGTTGCTTATGTGGGTTTCGACCATGCTGCATCACTCGAATTAGAGTCCTATAGTAAGTTGCTAGAGATTCTAATTCAAGGCTGTGTGATTCAACTCTCTACTCTCTTTCTCAAAACCCTATTACATATCCAACCATTCTCAAGTTGCTTACTTGGGTTTTGACCATACTGCATCAACTGCCCTTCATATCATAATTCATTACTCCTGTGATTTTGGGTTTGGACAAATTTCGTACCTCAGCCTCAGATAACCCAAATGAAGTGGTCCTAAAGCAGTCCACATCAGGTCGTTGAGCTCCATGAAAATGACCTATATCCCACTCATAACCTGTACAAATTATAAAAGTTTTCAGAAACTATAACTTGAAATAACAAATATAGAAACCCAGGGTGTTTTAAAAACTCAAGTAATGGCATCAGGTAAATAAAAATAAGGGTAATCACAAGTAACAAAAGCTTCATCTAGACACCAATACACATTAATGGACACACAAATGCACATATGTACATACAAAGAACAAAAAAATATATTAGGGTTAGTGAGGATATATGGAACAATTGGATTAGCATCGTGAGAATATAATCCCAATTGGATTACAATAATTGCACTTTTCAGGCTATCCGAGGCCAATGATAGTGTTGATTTTATCCTCCAAGTAATTGCTTTGTTATTTTTCTCATGGCTTGTATTTATTAGGCATTGGTTTGTTATGTAATCTTTGGTTCATTTTGTGTAAAATAAAGGTGAAATGTGCAACTTTGCTTTTATTTATTTATTTTTATGATCTCTTTTGTTTCTGCTACTGTTTTTACCATGTGCAAGGTTTAAGCTGAGAGTTTCAATGGAAATATCAACCATATAAATAGGAAACATTTTAGAAATGTCAGAAACTTCATATAGATTTATAGTAAAATTTTATGTCGATATTGATATATAAAATATTTGTTAGTATTTTTTGAAATTAGAAAAAGGACATACTTTTTAATGTAAATTACATAATTAAAAATGACAAAAATGATGTTTTTAAAATGATTACGTCATATGGCCACTCCTTCCACTCAGAATGGATTTAACGATTTACAAAATCATGATATGGTACCAACTAGGGGCCATGACTTGGTCTGATGGTAAAATTTCAGGATGGCAAGTGTGAGAACATACGAGGTTTGAGTCTGAGGGCGGCAGCCACTTTGTGCAAAAAATGCCAGAGGTTAGGACCATACCCAGTCTATGCCTCCCAAGACCCCAGATTGTTGGGACCAACATTGGGTAATAGCCTTTATAATAATAGTAACAACTGCTGATTGTGCTTTGTTTAATATAAAGGTTATGATTTACATGTATGTCTCCACCCTCGTAGAAACTTCCTTTGAGCATTAATTCTTTCTAACTCAAATATGGCGTTCTTCTCAAACAATTGATCAGAACTCAGGTCTTCTCTACACTTTCCCTCTACATCTCCAACTATTAAACTTCCAATTTCCTTAGTTGTCCCTGAACCAGAATCAGTCGCCCCCTTAATCTTCTCTTTCATCTGGAGTCTAGTCTCTCCCACCTCCCTAAAAGCTTCCTTTGTGAAATCCTCTGCCCCCCGCCCCAAGAAGAATAAACCCAACAATTTACTGAACTGACCTTCACCCGTGTTCAGCACCCTTTCCATATCTACAGATTTCTCTACTTCGTGAGTTTCATCTATGGCAACTTCTTCCTCCTCTGTACCCATTGTTCCATCCTCTTCCCCTGATCCTGCATCCTCTTGCAAAGGTCTGGTTCTATATTTTTGTTTCCTTATATACACTCTTCATAAAGACTTTTCCTTTTCCTTGTCCTCTTCATCAAAGGTCAGGACTTCTTCCCTAAAGACCTGGAGGCCAACATTTTCCAACTCAGGCCCTGTTTGAACTTCGTCCCTCTCTCCCCCTCCTCCACGTACATTCTCCCCCAAGTTGTTCTCCCTTTTGCCTTCTTTTTTTTCAGATTCTGGCTCTTCCAATATCTTGAAGTCATCTTCTTCAGAATAGCCATCTTTTTTTGTGAGAGCTTCTCCCGGCTGAGTCCACTCCATGACCTTGGAATCCAATCTTCCAACACAGCATCCCTTTTCTGATACCTCCCTCGCACCTGGATCAATCTCATCAGAGGGAGCCAAATTTCTTAAGCCTAAAGAAATGGAGCAGTCCTCAAAACTTTCATTGTTACAGGGTGGCTTCTCAGATTCATCATTTTCAATATTAAGAGGAGACTCACTGGAATTATCCGGAAAGTTGCTAAAAGGCCCCTGAAACCTGCCTAGTTCAGACAACTCACCTCTGGGATCTGAACTGTTCTCTTTTACTGGTTCAAAGTCTGGCCGAATCGGCTCAGAAAACAAAACCAGCATTTTACTAACCACCCCATTTTATTTCTCGAGCTTAACGTCCCCTTTCCCAAAAACATTTAAACTTTGGAACCTTCTCGGAGAGTGAACATTATTTGACCCTCCGCCCCTTCTTCTTCCAAACCTGTCACATTAAAGGAGCATCTATCTTCCGATATTGTCTGCCACATGGACTGCGCCCTACCTCATCAGTTTCATCTTCAACCTCTCGCCCTTCCCCCCACAGCAACGCTTCGTGTTCTGACGCAATCCAGATCTTCGTCCAAGCTCCATCTGAGAAGACATCAATAGATCGAGGAACTTCATCCGGCTTCACTCCAGCAATTTCCACCACTGCGTAGCAGAGGTTTGAGATGTTACAGGATATGAACATCCCTCCTATCGCCGTTACTACCTTTTTTTTATCAATAACACTTTCAATAATTCATCAGTAGAAAATTTACAAGTGGAAGACAAACACACTTATCTTCCAAGAGTCACAAAGAACTTCAAGAAATGAAAAATCTATCGCCGTTACTACCTTCTCCGGCACAGGTTTCTTCCAAAGATTAAAAGGGAGCCTGAACAATCTGATAGCAAAGGCTTCATCATGAAAAACCTTGCTGTTACAGGCAGCAGCCCATTTCTTCACCAGAATGATGACAGACTCAGTTTCTAACCTATCAAAATCCACAGTTTTTTCTTCAACATGCAAAATTGCTCTTCTTCTATCAAAAGGGGAAATCACAACTCCTTTCATTTGAAGTTTCCTTTTCAGCTTATCCAGAATAAATTCCCAGTCCATAATCTCCCTTCCTGCTTCCATAATCATTCTTCTTACCCACCCTCCTCCATTTCCTTCCAACATCAGCCTTTGCACTTTATAACGCAACTTGCACACACTTCTTGTTCTACATCTTTATTTTTATTGCTTTAGTAGACTTCTCTATCGTCCATCAACATCAGATATTCTTGCAACATCTGAGTGACCAACCTCCAACCTGTCCCCTGTTTTCCTTCTGGAAAACAAACCATTTGTCTTCTATTACCTCCAAAAAACTCTATAAGACAAACCAGCCCTTCTGGTTGTATTTCAATGCCGCCTGGTACCTTCTTTCAGCTTCCAGCGAATCCATCCAGCCATTTTTCTTCACTGAGAAAAGTGCTCCATCAATGAACCCCTTCAACCACTATGTAGCTTCTCCTGTTAGAAAAATAGTTGCCCTTCCTTTTTCTCTTAATTTCAGAACTGAAAGGTTTTTGCTCTTTCCTTCTTCAAAAACCAACTTCTTCATTTCAGTAAAATTATCAACTCTCCAACTTATTGCTGGAGTCCCCATTCTGAAAACTCTTTTACTCCCTCTTCCCCACTTCTTCATCTTGAATCAATCAGCTCATTTGCCACTAAAATCCCATCAATAATCTGCCTTTCATCAATAATCCCTCAAGTAACAGGCTAGCAGCCAACATAACCAAAAAGAGCATTGGAGGATACCGTGAAAAATGGCTATGTCCAAACCCTTGACCAAATTCCAAGACTGAATTGTTGAAACAAATGTCTATATCCATGGGCAAGCACCCAGTTGAAGACTCAAGGAGTGATCCCCAAGAGTCTGCCATAGGATATAATTACTGAAATTGTCAACCTTAAGGTCCCCTAGGTTCTAGTGCTCAACAACCAAGCATTATTCCAACCCCTGCTACCCCTAGGATCCATCCATCACAACTGAATATGGATAGAGAGAGTCATGTTCAGAACCTTGGACATAATCACATTCCAGACAAGCAATCCAATCGGGTTATAGGCCATGGATACCGTACCAACAACCCACAAGAATTGGATGATGAAAATGTATTTCAGGAAAGTGACTTTGAGGATACCCCTAAACATAAGCAGTATTCTGGTCAGATCTAGATAGGCTCACGATAACCAAAGAAATTTCCTTAAGGAAGGTGAAATCACAAAGAAGGAAAAGGTCGATGTCTCTATCTATGACGGTACATTAAACACAAGTGCTTTTCTAGATTGGTTCGAGTAGAAATCACTGATTGTAGATTTAGTTGAATTTCTTGTGAAAGGAAAGGGGGGGAAGATAAAGATTTCAGTAGTAGAGAAGAAAAGAGAGGGAGAAAAGAGTRGGAAGTCAACCAGGATTCTTGAATTAACCCTAGCTGCCAACCCCTCATTATATTTATACTTAACTTAAAAGATGAGATATTACAAGGATGCCCTTAGTAGGGTGGCTACTAATGTGGCTGAACAATCACAACTTAGAAACAAAAACTAATGGAACTAAAGCCCAATAACTTCCTAACTAAATAGCTTAAAATAAGAATAAAAAACAACTAGGCCCAACTCAACACTCCCCCTCAAGTTGGGAGTAAATGTCACACATTCCCAACTTGCGTAGATCATTCTCCAGATTGTTCTTTGCAACACCTTTTGTGAGAACATCCGCGAGCTGCAGATCAGAAGCAATGTATGAAAGACAAACTTCTCCAGAAGTTACTCTTTCTCTGATAAAATGTCTATCCACTTCAATGTGCTTAGTTCGGTCATGCTGGACTGGGTTAGAAGTTACCCTTTCTCTGATAAAATGTCTATCCACTTCAATGTGCTTAGTTCGGTCATGCTGGACTGGGTTATGGGCAATGTTAATTTCTGCTTGGTTATCACAGTATA